AGTATAACTTAAACCTTTACTTATAACTCAAAAAGAATTGTACGCAGTATCTTGGGTCTTAGAAGAAATGATCTCACTCATGAAGCTTTCCTAAATCTCAGAATTTTCAAAATCAAGGAAATTAATACTTACTGCTGTGCACTTTGTTTTTAAAGTAAAGTAACGACATGTTTTATCACAGAACTAACGACAGATATCCCCTAAGAGGCAATAATATGCTAGATGTTCCATTCATGCAGTCTGATCAATCTAAATCATGTATACTATATCATGGACCAACTCTCTGGAATGCTCTCCCTGATAATGTACGTAGCTGCGCTACTTTGTCATCTTTTAAAAGCACTGAAATGTTACTTGTTATCACAATATATCATATAATGTTTAACTGTACTTCATTTATATTATATTTTTCTATTATTTGCTCTTGCATCTTTGTATTTCCTACTATACTGTAATTATATGTATATATGTATATGTATATGTGTATGTATATGTGTGAATATATGCATATGTATATATGTATATGTATGTATGTGTATGTGTGCATGTATATATATATATAATATATATATTTATATATATATATATTATATATATATTATATATATATATATATATATATATATATATATATATATATATATATATATATATATATATATATATATATATTCATATGTGTGTGTATGCGCACATTGGGTGTGTGTGTGTGTATGGATGTATGTCTGTGCATATATATGTATGTGTATGTTTATATCTATACATATATGTATGTGTATGTTTACATCTATACATATATGTATGTATATGTTTATATGTATATGTCTATGTTTATATATGAGGATGTATATGAGTGTATGTGTATGTAGGTATGTGTGTGTATGTGTTTGTGTATATTTATATCTGTACATATAATGTATGTCTCTTATGCTATTTACTGCCTGTAATTTTCCCTAATATAATTATGTACAATGTCATTCAGTAATTGTATTATTAGTTTACTTATTTATTTACATTATGTTCTTATTTCTCTTTCTTGTTTTCAATGATTAATAGTTCAAGGGGCCTTTCTAAGGGAGTCTCACTCCTGGAGGGCTCAGCCATATCACTATTGTAATATGTTGTATTTTTGTTGATGTATTGTATTTGGCTAAATTAATTATTTGATTGTGATTCTGATTCTCTCTCTCTCCCTCTCCCAAGAACCCATCATGTGTGTAAAGGTAATGTGGCACACGGGGCGTGCAATGGTTCAGTTCAGGAAAATAGTAACATTCAATAATGAACAAGATCGACAATGAATCAGTCGAATGAATCTGGGACTCAATCTCAATGTTAATTAGGACCGAGTCCCTGAGTTTGAGTTGTGGGAAAGTCTCCTACAACTCGACCACCAAGCCATACCATTCTTCCACCAACACTACTTCCTTCCTCTCTTCCTTTCTTTTCCTCTCTCTTTCTCTGTCTCTCTCTCTTTCCCTTTTTCCTTCTTTCTCCCAACAGTCAATTCTTAGTCATGGGCATGCTCCCCTCCAATGCAGACAAGGTGTGCCACTTACGAGTTTCCTAATTTCTTGATCCACTTAAATTTTAGTCAAATACCTCTCAGTACCATCATTTCAGACCAACTTAATATTATGTGTGATTGGCTGGAAACAGAAAAAAAAAAAAAAAAAAAAAACATGAGAGAAATAATGGGAGAGAAAGCAGGCAATTTGCCACATTGTCTCATAAATCAGAATGTATGCCTTTCTCTCTATCTCTTTTTCCTTCTTTCTCCCTGCAGTCAATGCTTTGACATAGGCATGCTCCCCTCCAATGCAGCCAGGGTGTGCCACTTACACACTTACGTGTTTCCCAATTTCTTGATCCATTTATACTTAGTCGAATACCACTCAGTACCATCGATCGCGGTCATTTCAGATCAGCTTAAAATTATGTGATTGGCTGGAAACAGAAAAATATGAGAGAAATAATGGGAGAAAAAACAAACAATTTGCCACCTTGTCTCATAAATCATAATGTATCACTTTCTCTCTGTTTTCACTCTTTCCAATTATCTCTCTATCAGCCCATTGCCACATCTCATCCAACTCACTACCACTCACTATGTTGACAAGGAGCCATGCAAACAAAACCATGCAGGTTGACAAGGGGTCTGTGCATTTACCAGTCTAGAGAGAGAGAGAGAGAAGAGAGAGAGAGAGAGAGAGAGAGAGAGAGAGAGAGAGAGAGAGAGAGAGAGAGAGAGAGAGAGAGAGAGAGAGAGAGGAGGAAAAGAAAGAGAGACAGGAGGAACTCATGATGACTTCATTGGTCATAGGGCCAAGACCGCAGACGAGCATTGGGTTGGTGTTTTAGCTGAAAGAAGGTTTGCTGCAGTAGGGTGTGAAAATGTCTTTTTTTTCGTAAATTTTTTCCTGAACTGAACCATTGCTCACCCCGTGGACCACATGAGCCTTACACACATGATAGGTCCCCGGGCAAATCAAACAATATCATTGTTTTTGGTAAAAACTATCAATTATTTTGTTATTCTGTAATTGGGGCTGTGAACTGTAAAGTCACATGCATTACAGTGGCTGAATATATCTGGGTAAAAGGAAGGGTTGACCACTCACGCATCTGAGAAGTTTTCACTGCACAATCAACCTAGTCGTTGTGACCCTAGGACGTCATTTACACATTCCCTGCTGGACTGCTACATTTTTTTTCTTCAAATTTGGACTATGGCCTAGAAAATTGACTAGAAACTGTATCTAATTTAATTGCTCCGATCAACTGCTAACTTAAGACACTGATGATGGTAGTGGATAACTAGTGGACTGCAGTGTAGTCACTGCAGCCAGAGGGAAGGTGTCCTGCCTACTACAGGAGTATGTGTCTTAGCAGAAGCTTGACCACAAACCATACTAGTATTAAAAATAAAAAAAAATCATAGTAGTATGATTTTTACAAAGACACACAGAGATTGGATCATAGGTAATGTTAATAATCATCAGTGAACCAGTGTTTTTTCATTTATGATATTTTCATGCTAGTAGAATTCGTTTTCGAGCTTCTTTAGTCCTGTTTTGTAAGTACGAGCTGTCAGTCATTGGTCGTAGAGTCTCAGTCATCTATTTGAAGGTAGGTGTCGTACACAATTACTTTTACTGAAAAATTAGAAAAGTTATGTTCAAAAGAAGGATGGGTGTGGTTAACACAAAGGATTTTAACAAGTGCACACTACATGATTGAACATATAGTAATAATGATAACAATAATAATCTATATTAAAAGAGAAAGAGAGAGAGAGAGAAAACGTTTTCGTTATCCATGCTTTCGCTGCACAAATTGCAAAATGGGACAGTCACTATAGTTGCACTGCAGCTAGTGTAGGACGTTTTTGCGGGGAAGCTCTGGATCAGTTTGCATGTGCAAGTGCTCCCCCCCCCCTCTCTCTCTCTTTCACCCTCTCTCTCTCTATCTATCTGTTGCCTCTGCAGCTTCAGGACTATATTTATTCAGGCGTGATGTGATTGAGTTTTTGTGGTCGGACCTTTCCTATGTTGGAGGAAAAATAAATACAGACAGAAAGAGTGAGAGACTGGCAGAGAGACTATAAGAGAGAAAGAGAGAGAGAGAGAGAGAGAGAGAGAGAGAGAGAGAGAGGAGAGAGAGAGAGAGAGAGGAGAGAGAGAGAGAGAGAGAGAGAGAGAGAGAGAATCTCTGGATGATGGGGAATAATTTCCACAGTGTATTAACAACAATGATAATAAAGACAATAAAGATATTAACAGTAATGATAATAATAATAATAATAACTGGCATGCCCAGAGGCAAATGATAAAAAAAAAAACTTTATCGCCCCCTCTCCGACCCACCTACACCCCAATCCCATCCTACCACCACAACTCAATCAACCAACTCACACCTGAACAGCTGCAGAGACGACGAACGGATAAAGATTTAAATTTTAGTGTGTTGCCAAAATGCTCAGAAGTCGCCTACCCTTCTATATAATCTTTCGAACGAGTGGTCAGCCATCTCTCTATTTCCGTTCTCGAGATATTTTTTTTTCTAAACTTGTCGTTATGCATGAAATGGACACAAGAATTGCTGTTCTTAATTCACGATGATGAACAGTTTGAGACCAATTTGAGATATATTCAAATAGTGAATTAACACACCTTGCCAGGGACGGGGTCAGTGAGTACATTTTGCTTTCTTAAGTGGATTGATACATGAAATGTATACTTGAGAATGACTAATCTTGATTTAGGATGACCTAAGGAATACATTGCCATGTGTTTCATGGATGTACTCAGATTGTGAATTAAAAATGCTAATTAGCGTTAATTAGGTCGTTCTTAAGCGACCTAATACACAAATTGAAAACTAGAATTGGGAATTCTGATTTTCACTCATACAGAGAACATTTTAAGGCGTTTGAAAGATGTACTCAAATTGTGAACTAAGTCACATTT